GGGGCCACCTCTGACAGGCCGCCGGCTGCAGCGCCTGCGCACAAAGAACGGCTCGCGTGACGTCAGAAGAGCGCTGCCTCCCCGTTGGCTCCTGGCAGTCCCCGCCCTCCGCGGCGCTCACGGCGCATGCGTCAGGTGCGGGGCGGCCGTTGAGGGGAGGGAAGCCCCGCCCCCCGCCCCTCCCGGTACCTCAGGTGCGCGGCGCGGGCCGCAAGTAAATGGGAACGCGGCTTCCTCCTTGCTCCTGGCCCGCTTTGAGAGGCTGGGACTGAGTCTTTGCGTTTCCAAAATTTTTCTTAAAAACCAAGCGTTTCTTGGCCCGCAGTAACGGCAGCCCAGCGGAAAACGGGCGCAAGCGACGTTTCTAAGCGACGTAGAGCCGTTGCCATGGGAACGAAAATGGAAATTATTCGGAGGTCCGAGAAGGGCGAGAGGCGGTGGGTCGAGCTTTGGGCCTCCCCCAGACCACGGTCGCGACCGTCCGGGAAGACAAGGTAAGGATTTGGGAACGTGTGAAGGGCTCGGCTCGGCGTTTCAGAGCCAGGGCCGACTTGCGTAACGCCAGGGTCTAGGGCGAGACCAAAGCAGAACAATCGCGTTTGAATAGTGTTTGGAGACCATTGTGTCCCGAGCATGTGTCTGACGGCCAAGGCTTTACAGACGCTGTTGAAGAGGTGATCAAAAATGTTGTTGAAACGGGCAAAGAACTCGACTCGGGCGTTGCACCAGAGGATGTCGACGAGCTGGTGGCGTCACGGTCTGCAGAACTGACCAGTGAGGACCTCCTTGAACTGGAACAGCACAAAGTAGCAGAGCAAGACGACGCGCCCGCTGTTGAAGAGACCGCTCCTCGTCAAGTCTTGACCACAGAAGTGTTGGCTGAGGCACTTCAACATTTGGAAGCTGCCACGTCCCTGTTTGAGGAGGGTGACCCCAATGTTGAGTGCAGCGCATCAGTGAATAGGGGCGTATCCAACGTGCAGCTACTACAGAGAAATTTAGAAGCAAAAAAGGAGAACATCTGTCCAAGCTTCCTTGGACACTTTAAGAGCCTCCAGACAAGATTTCTGAGAAGACTCCAGCCAAGAGCCCTTCAAAAAGTCCATCAAACTCACCTCAAATAAGTCCTTCCAAATCCATATGATTGCTATTTACAATATAAATACATTAATGTAGCTATATTACTCATCTATATTTGATTGAGTACAAAAATCTGGGTTATTTTTGGTGAAAATAGGGTATCAGGCCTTGGTTCAGGAACTAATCCCCCGTTTATAACATTGTTCCGATGGGAAAATTGGTTCCGAGTTACGACGTTTTGACTTAAAGACGCGTTTTTCAGGAACCAATTGTGTCGTAAGTCCGAGGACTGGCTGTATTGCCCATGGGTCACAAGCTCCAGCAGGGAAGAAATGCAGGCTTTCACCACCCACATGACAAATTTAAGTGATGCCTTTACTGCCTTTTCTTTCTACAAATTCCGCTAATTCAGGACGTTAAGTTACTTTGAAGGTAATCAACATATTTTTTTTATGTCTGTTTTTCTGTATCCCTAAAATGCCCAGATGATTAGTTACGATTCACAATACTAGTTATCTGGGTTATTTAGGTGAGTTGCAGCCTACCTGAGGGTGGTGGGGTGGCAGGGTGTCTGTCAGCCAGGGATGCATCCTTCTTCAGGCTGTAAACAATAACCACAGGGTGGAATTTACTTTCAACCCATGCTCTGACCTGACGTGACTCAGAATTTCAGTTTCTCTTTAGAGTTGATGCTGCGCTTGAGAGTTCTCCGGGGCAGACTTGAACATGCCTTGTAGGGCCACTAAGAAGTGTTTGTTTTTGTTGTTGTTGTTGTTGGTGGGGTTTGTTGGTTTTTTTGTTTTTTGTTTTTTGTTCATGACCCAAATAAACTGCCCCAAAACTGCCTTTCCCAAGTGGTCGCCCAATTTGCCCAAGGGCAGCATGGGTTTCTTGCAGTATATAGACATGTATAGTCCTTTCTACCCTACTGTAAAAACAGATATCACTGTATTTAATTCAGATTGTATTTGCATAAACCAGCTGTTAATTGGGCTCATTATGAGCGTTTTCAGTCTCTTTTGGCATGTTCAGGTTTGCAGCTTAGCATATTTAATGAAATAAAGATGAAGAGCAGAGAAAGTTATAGAAATTCTTCAGAAAATAGACTCCTTCCCCTCCCACAGAGGCGGTCTCTTTTTCCTAATTTACGCTACCGAGTTATTTGGCTTAGGTTTTCAGGGTTATAAACGCACCTATGTATTCTCGCTTGAGCTTAATTTGCACATTCAAGAAAATAATTACCTATTGGCTCTCACTAGTCATAATTTCTCACGTAAGAGTGCTTTAAAAACCTCTCTATATGTGGCTTACTGGTTGTCTTAGTTATGAAAACTAGTGTTACACAAGCTTCTTGCTGCACACAGTTCTTATTAAGAGTGGAATTAATGAGGACAAATTCCTGTTTCAAACCAACAGCTAGCGTGTCTCAGCCAAACTCTCAATGGAAATTTGTATCGGGCAAAGCATGCTTGTTTGTTTTCAAACAGGTTGTGGGATAAATAGCTGCCGAATGACTCAGACTATTCTGAGCCTGTGACTCTAACTGATCTAGGTATCTTATAAAGAAGTTGCAGTCCAGGCCATAGGCACCACTTGAACAAGTGGGAAATGCATGTAGGGATGTCTGATTGCTGGGAAATTGCCATCTCCAGCTAGATGGAGCCAACTTTATGGGTCTGTTAATTGGATCAGGCGCTGATCCTTCTGTGGGTTTGCTTATGATCTTTTTGTTTGGTGGAGAAAACCGATCCTTTGGGGAAATGTTGAAAGGCCGGAACTACTCAAATGTTCCCTTATGAACTCCTGTTACATATCTGAACTTCCCCTTGTCACTGGCTTTGGAGTGGACTGTAATAGTGAAAACCCAAGAGAATATTGTAAAGTTAGTTTACAAACTCATTGAGGGCAGGGTCTGTCTTTTTGCTGTTTCTACAATGTGCAGCACAGTGAAGTCCTGAATTATAGTCCAAGATGCAAACAACCATCATACAAATAAGCAAGGCTATATTGCACAATGCTCAGTGCGCCCTGGATTACTCAAGGGCACTGAGTTACCAGTTTTCACTTCTGTCCAGCTTCAGCCCTGCTACAGACACTGACATAGGCTTTTGGTGATGCAGGTCTGGAGTTGTATCCGCATGAACTACCAGCATAGTTTCACTCATCAGTTTTGGGGTACACTGGCTAGTTTGTTCTTTTCTGTCCTTCAATGCTTTTAGATTGGTATTTTGTTACCAATAATACACTGTTCCCTAGGCTGGAAAAAGGAATTAATGTAAGGTTGGTAGTAGCTTAGGTTCTCATATAATAATATACTCAGGAGTGTAATAAAAATAGCTTTTCCTGTAGTACTTTGCAAGGGACACCCCCCCCCCCATTATTTATACTAAATAACCCCAAGAGAGGTAGTACTTTAAATACATTCTTATCCAAGACAGCTGTATGGAGTCTCCCCTCTGCATGCCACAAACACCTACCTTTATGTTCCCACTACTTCACCATGTATCTTCCAGCCTCGTTGCTTTCTATTGTTAGTTACAAGCTTAAAGAAGAGGATGCTGGAGAGAGAGAATCATACACTAATAGCTGTGAGAAGCAGATGTTTAAGGCATAGAGAAGTACATGCACTAATAGACATAATTTGTTTATCAAGGACAAGGAAAAAATATCCATGCTGCAGAACAATATGCTCGCTGAGAGAGATGGGACCAGTCTAAACTAATCCAGTCCAGCACAAAAGGTTTGCTTTAGACACTAAAAGTAAGGACTTTTTCATAAATGAAACTGACTTATTTAATGGACCAAACCTCTTTTTTCATAGTAAGGCCCATGAGATGAGGATGAGCTATCTCCCTGTTGTCCTTATGGGTTCATTGCCTCTTACACGCCACCCAGTTACCCTTTTCCAGAGGGAACATTCTTTCCGAGAGAATTTCCCTGTTGGGTGGAATGAAGGTATGACAGCATGAAACCAAGCTGAGCATCCAAATCCATAGTCATTTCTGAACCTATAGACCATTAATCATTATGATCAGGTTGGCAAGTTTTACTCAACAGTTTAGGCCAATATTTCACAGACAACCTCTGATTTAATAATACACATTTTCACAGGAGCTGAGACTTAAGCCAGAAAAACAGGCAAGAGAATTCACACAAAGGCCTGCTCTGGCAAGCAATTTGTAGGTATTAGATGGACCAAAGCATGGCTAGAGATGACCAAGCTGCATCCCTATAGCTGGATGTAGCTAAGTTAGCTGAAACTATATTTTCTAAAATATCACCTAAAAAGAAGATGTTTCCTCAAATGAGTATCTATGGATTAATTCACATTTGTTTAGAAGCTCTTTCAATATTATTTGTATTATTAAAATGAGCTAGAACTGAAACCCAGGAACTCAGGCACCTCAAAATGCACGGCCCTGAAATCTGATCCTTGGAGCTCCTGTCAGTTTGGAGGCTGAGAGGAAGTTCTGCAGTCACATCCTCCAAATCTAAACTTTGACGAATCGGAATCCAAACCTAGAATTAAATCTCACAATTGTTTTCTCACTGTATAGCAGGAGATGTATGTGTCTGTGTGAGAAGCAAAACAAAGCCAGAGCCAGGAATAGGGAGACCCTGGTTTAAATTTAAGAGATCATGCTTTTGCACTAAGCATTTGCAGGAAGGAGACTTGGAACTGTGAAAAAAGAAACTGTCTTATGCTGTTTGATTCTTTCTCCACTTAGGGGAACAGGCTTTTATGCACATTCTTTGTGAATAAAGATGATTTCAGCAATCACCACCATTCATTTCTCCCCCTTACCAAAAATATCCAGAGACTATGAGAGCCTGGCTAACTATATGGGTCAAAAAGGAGTAACATGATT